TATGCTTTTGCATGGCTGCAGCCAGACTAATCAAAGTCTAAAAAGATACAGAAATTAAAAACGGCCCCAATAATTCAACGCGGTGTTAGAAAATTTCTATTTACGTCGGCTTTTATTAATGGTGATTTTGAATTAATAAATAAGTTGATTTATAATGGTCTAAAATATTAAGATACTAGTTTTTGTTTGACCCGTGCAACTTTTTTTTTTTTAATGTTTTATATTAGAGTTTATTTTTTTATTATTTTTTTATTAACTTTTGAATTTTATAATAATATTTAATTAAAAAATTTTAATTAAGTAATTAAAGTTGAATTAAAAATTATGTTTAGTAATTAATAGAAGTATTTTTTTTTAAAAAAATTTATATAATCACATTAAAAAAAATATTAAGAGAATTTAATAAAACACTCAATATTAATTCTTATCTCGTATATCTGTTCTTTCTCTCTATGATTATTCCATTTAAAAATTTAAATAATATTTTTTCTTTTCTCAATTAAAAAACTATAATATAGTTAAATATGATTAAATATCTGTGTTGTATGTGCATTGTATAGGATCATATTTATACATTAATTTTTATTATTGTTGTTGTTGTTGTTGTTGTTATTATTATTATTATTATTATTATTATTATTATTATTATTAAATAGCAATTTCAAAAATGTGTTAAGAAAAATAATAATAAAGCATATATATGTAAGCTAAAATTAATAAATAAAAAGAATCAAATTTTTTTATTGATTTTGACATTTATAAATATTAATGAATTAATATGGATATTTCTTAAATTATTCATATTTTTGATTTATTCATCAAAAGACTTAATTTGCCTTATCATTATAACATTTTTTTGTACGTCTACATTCAAAATAAATACATATATATACATATTCTATTATTTTTTTAAAAATATTTTTAATAAAAAAATTCTACATGAAATAAAATCAAACAATTCATACAAAAATCTTCTTCTTTGCCAAGCTCTTTAGATCTGACTTCCTCATTCACATTTTTTTCCAACAAAAAAAGAGTGCATGAGGTGAAAAAAATTAAAAATAATAAAAATAAATAATGAATAAAAATGATATAATAGTGTTATAAATGATAATCAATAAAATTATAATCATATGTTTTTATTCCCCATAAAAATCAAACATCTATTTATCTTCGTTTGATTTAATTCATTCATTATATATGTAATGAAAGCTAATAATAGTAAGATTTTTTTTTTTGATCAGCAAAAACAAATAGTCTTTCTATTACTATCGGAGTATAAGGAATACTCCACCTCCAAATACAAACATTAAACCACTACTTCAATAGAAGAGAAAAAATCAAAAGTGCAAAAGGCAACAGTTGTCCAAAAGCTAAATACATTTAGAAACGGTGCCACAATTACTCCAAAAACCCCCAGTAGCTCAGATCACAACGCACTGCATCTTCTTGTATTTCTTCATATTATGACGATGTTGAACTATGGCTTCTTTACAATCCATAGGTCTTGATATCCAATCTGTATAAGAAAACACACATCCTGGCTCTTTATTTTTAATCCATAGAAAAGATTTTGCTTGAATAGATTCCAATAACCTCACTTCAGCCTATAAAACTGGTCCAAACACTTTCATATTCCTCCAGTACCACACTAACCAAGCAGTTACCAAAAAAATAAGGGCTCCTAGCTCCTTCAAGCATCCCCCACTTATTCCATACACCACCGACTCCGCCAAACCAAATATATCATTTGGCTAAACACTTTGTAAACCCCACCATCCCAAAACCTTCGTCCATACTAACCACACCCCTTCACACTCACAAAAAATATGATGTAGCCCCTCCACCCCCTCATGACAAAATCCACAACTAACATCCCTACCTGACAACAAAATTCCTCTCTTACACAAATTCTCTTTAGTGGCCAACCTATCCAAAAATAATCTCCACCCAAAAACACTCAACTTAGAAGGAACATATTTACTCCAAATAAACCGAGACTATTTCTCATCCAGAACACAAACTTTCAGTGATAAAAAATCATAAGCTGCCTTTACAGAATAGATACCATCTCTACCATGAAGCCATTGCCAAGAATCTGCTTCCTCCATCCTTAATCTTACCCCATTAATCATTTCCCTAAACTGTCCCTCCTCACCAA